ACGTGAGAAGGGGCGGGCCTTCTCAGAAGGCTCGGAACTCCCGCATCCTTCTAAGAAGTTATCGAAGCCTCCCCCGAACACACAGACAACTTCTCGGCAGGCTGAAAGGCTTCTGAGAAGCCCCGCCGCCTTCCGAGAAGGATTTCCCTTCTCACTTCCCCCCCTCGCGCGCCGCCGAATTCGGTTTTCGAGTCATTTCTCGGGTCTCCGGTGGCCATTCGGAACGATCCGGGCACCCCCAGAACGCCCTCGGCGAGGCGCAGCCGATGGCAAGCACCCCGAGGCTGGAAAACCGCCGAGAAACGACGAAAATGCCGAAATCGTGGACGGTGATACAGTCAACCCGTATAGTAAGGATGCGCGATAAGGATGCTGGCCTTGGGCGCCCATTTCGAAGCTTTTCGAGCGGGGCGCGGCCAACGAGAGTGGCCAAAGGGATGGACCGAGGAGGCAAGGATGTCAGGGTAGCCTTGGGGAGGTAGCCCATCCTTCCTATGGGCCGACTGTGCTCACACCTCTCGCCGCCGCTGGGCGGGTCCATGCACCATTCCTGTGGTTAGGTCGGGCATGTCCTCCTACAGGCGGAGTTTGGAGGGAAATTAAACATACGATACACAATTCTCCAACATATCTTCAAAAACTGCTCAAAGTTCGTCCCCAGAGCATTTTGCTTTACTATTGTTGAATGCTCCTCCTGTAGAGGGACAATATTTTGCTTTACTGCTTTACAGTCTCGTTTCTGGCTCTTCCTCTGAGTGGCTGCCCACGCGCTTGCTTCGCTTGCCTCTCTCTTCTCGCTGCCTGGTCGCGGCCCGACTGGTGGTCGGACGGCTTTCGACCTGCTTCGCGAGCCCGCAGACCCCCCAAAAATAGAGTTATGTCGGGCGTGTCCCCCTACAGGGAGATTTTCCACGAAAAATACAAGATACCCAAACAATAATAAAAAATAGTCAAAAACATAGTGTGGGGACTATTTTGAAAATATTGTTTGATCTTTGGGGGGCATTTTTGGGATATGTTTCATTCTTCGCCCAAGATCTCCCTGTAGGGGGGACAGGCCCGACGGAGCCCTGGGGCCGAGGTCGGCCCCGCTCGGGCGCTGCCTGCCGCCCGCGGGGTGGCCTCTCCCGCGGCGCCTGCGGTGGCCCCCGCGCGCCCCAGCGTCTCCTGGAGGAGCCGCGCGCCTATGAAGGGAAATTAGGACACACAAATAAATACACACAAATAAAAATAGTCCCCATATTTTCCCATATGTTCTGGGTTTTTGTCTTCCCCCCCAATTCCCATATTTTCCCATATTTTTCTAAAAATCGACGAATAATTGTGTCTGTGTGTTTTTTCCCCTCCTGAGCCTAGCCCGCGGCGCTGCAGCGCCGCGTGCACGCAGAGGCGCAGCACGCGCGCGTACCTCGGGAGGCCGCCCACGACGGGCCCGTTCCCCACCACCACCCCCACCTCAAGTTGGAGGGGGAGGGGGTCCTCCTCCTCCTCCTCCTCCTCCTCCTCCTCCTCCTCCTCCTCCTCCCCACCTCCTCCTCCTCTCTCCTCCTCCTCCTCCTCCTCCTCCTCTCCTCCTCCTCCTCCTCCTCCTCCTCCCCTCCTCCTCCTCCTTCCTCCTCTCCCCCTCCCCTCCTCCTCGTCCTCCACCTCCTCCCCCCCCTCAAACTTCTGGTGGTGGCTCCTCCTCCTCCTCCCCTCCTCCCCCTCCTCCTCGTCCTACACCTCCTCCCCCCCCTCCAACTTCTGGTGGTGGTCGTGGTACACGGGCCCATCATCCCAAATGGGGTCGGAGCAGGTGGGGTCGGAGGATCGCGCCACACCGCCGATGCACTGGCGCTGCACTGGCGATGCATCGGCGACACACTGGCGGTGCATCGGCGACGCCGGCGCGGAGAGAACATCGGGTCGCGTCGCCAAGGCGGCGGCGATGCGGCGCGATCCTCCGACCCCATCTGCTCCGACGCCATTTGGGATGATGGGCCCGTGTACCACGACGACCACCATAAGTCGGAGGGGGGGAAGGAGGTGGAGGACGAGGAGGAGGGGGAGGACGAGGAGGAGGAGGAGGAGGTGGAGGAGGAGGAGGTGGAGGACCCTGTCTGGGAGGCCCCGAGCACCTGAGCCCCGCCGCCCGCCGGAGGCCGGCCTCCGCGGACAGCGTCTGCGCCAGCAGGTTCTGCGCCATCTTGCGCTGGCGCAGGAAGAGCTCCTCGGCCGCCTGCGGGTCGTCGACGGGCTCCTCTCGCGGGCGGGCGCCAAGGGGGAGGCAAAAGAAGGAGGAGAAGGAGGAGGAGGAGGAGGAGGAGGAGGAGGACTGGGACGAGGAAGAGGAGGACTAGAAGGAGGAGGAGGAGGAGGAGGAGGAGGAGGAGGAGGAGGAGGAGGAGGAGGAGGAGGAGCATGGGGTGAAGGAGCGTGCACCGTTCGTGCACCCCTTCCGGGTCCCGCGGTGGGTGTGTTCGGGCGCTGCTTCGGGCCCCCTGAGGCCCGCTTTCCTGCACGCCTTCATCCCAGGAGAGCCCAGAATCGAATCGATAAGTCGGATCGGCAGTCGACATGAATCGGATCGGCGGAAATCGGCAGCCGAGTCGGGAAAAGGAAACGTCGAATCGGCGGACATCGGCAGGTTCGTATGCCTCCGATGAGAAATCAAATCCCACATCTGAATCCCAAGTCGAATCGAACCGGAGTCGGAGGCCATCGAAGTCGAATCGAATCGAACCGGAGGAATCGACACGAGCCCGATGCCCCCGCCGCGTCTGCTGCCCCCCCCGCTGCCGCCCGCCCGATGTCCTCGACCGAGACCACGGTCAGGCCCACGATGTGGCCGCTGCGGCGCAGGACGAACATCGTGATGTCGGGCGAGTCGAGGAAGAAGCTGACGTCCGAGGGCCTCGTCTTGTAGTGGCCGTCCCTCAGCAGGCCGAAGACGCTGTTCAGCTCCAGGCCGTCGGGCTGGCACAGCTGCCCCCTGCGGCACCGCCAGGGAACATCCGCACCCACTGCTGCTGGGCGTCCTGCCCAGGATTCCCCCGCGGAGCGGTGGGCCTGGATCTCTCCCTGCCTGCAGCGGCGGGCAGAGATCCACATCCGCCACCTCCTCGAGAGGCCCTCGAGATCCCGGGGCGCGACTCCGAGGGTGTGGGCACCCACACCTTCATAGAAGCCTCCCATAAATGGGGTCCGAGCAGGTGGGATCGAACGATCGCGCGGCATCGCCGCTGCACCGCATAGGCATCGGCGGCGCCGGCGTGAAGGACACCGGGCTCCACATCGAACCGCATCGCCAGTGCATCGGGGATGCATGCGCGATCCTCCGACCCCATCTGCTCGGGCCCCACCTGGGAGGCCTGGGATGTTCTGGCGGTGGACCTGTCCAACTCCTCTCGGGCGGGTGGCAATTGAGGGTGTCACCAGCCTCGAACTCATCCCTATCCCTAAGATTGACACGCCCAAAGGCGATGGCAATCTTAGGGATTCGCCCTCAAAAACTCAGGGAATCCCTGAGATTGGCATCGTGATGAGGAGGCGCCAAGCATAGGGACAGGGATATGTTCCAGGCTGGTGAGGGTGAGGAGTGAAGACAGGGGCCCAACAGAGCCCCTCTGGGGGCCATGTCCCTCCCCAAACCCAGACCTCTGACGTCGCGACTTTTTTTTTATCACGTCGATCCCTAAGGGCTCCCAACTTCGCGCTTCGCGCTGCGCGAAGCGCGAAGTGCGAATAACTTCGCCCTCTCGCGCCGCCTCCCAGGGGAGAAGAGGAGGACGAGGAGGAATCGGAGCCGAACCGCGAAGCGCGAAGCGCGAATAACTTCGCGCCCTCGAGGGCGCCCTTGGATCCCCTGGAGTCTCGACCCGTCCCCCAGGACCAGAGCTTTCATCCTGGGCCGGTGCCCCACGGCCCCGCGGCCCGGTGAGGGCCCCCAAGGGCCGAACACGGCGCAAGACCTTCCGTCGAGATGTTCCTCTACGACGCGAGAGGGAGTCTGCAACTGCCACCCGCCCGATCCTCGAACACCACGTTCTCCGGGACCGTGTCCGCCACGGCCTCGGCGTCGACCGGCCGCGCCTCGAGCAGCAGCGCGGCGTTGGCGAGCGCCTCCAGCGGGCAGCCCCGCCGCCACCGCAGCGGCTCGTGCAGCTGCACGTGGCGCAGCTGGGCGCGCGTCTGCCGCAAGCGCGGCAGAACGCGGACCAGGAAACCTCCAGAGGAACAGCAAAACGCACATAATGACTTCTCGGAGTTCCGCGCAACGATTCTCTTTAACGTTGTCGTTGTCGTCGTCGTCGTCCCCTTCGTCGTCGTCGTCGTCTCGCGGTCGTCTTCTTCGTGGTCATCGTCGTCGGTGTCGTCGTGGATATCTTGGGTCGGCGCTGGGAAATCAGATTTACGTCTGATGAACATCCTGCAAGAGCATGAAGCCCTCCGCTGGCCAAAACACACAGAACGTCTAAGGCTTCCCTCCCCTAGTATGCACAATAACATCCAGCAAACGCGACGAACACGAGGGCAACCTCCCCGAACCGACCTCGATCTCATACCTCGTACCGCCTGTAGAGAGTTCCAGAGCTTCCCCCTCCAACCTCTCTTCTTCCCCTGTGGGGAGGGGTTTACCCCTTCCCTTACCCTCCGCACGTGGGTTTGGAAGTGATCGCGAAGTAACAGAGGGTCTTGTGTGGCCTCGGCGAAAAAAATGTTACGCGGGTGTTGGCTATATGTTGGCACCCTGGGGCGGGGGGGGGCCCTCATGTGGGAAATCCCCTTCATTGGATCGATTTCCTCCAAATTGGTTCCGAAAAGCCCCCCGAGACGGCACCAAAAAGCGCCCAGGAGGCACCCAGGAGGACCCGAAAACGCCACCATCATGCCCCAAAAAGGCTCACAGGAGACGCCCCAAGAGGCCCCGGCGAACGGGTTTAATTTTTGCTGGCCTCCAAGAAGGGGGGGGATGGCGAACGTGGGATTTCCCCTCGTTTGATCGATCTCGTCCAAGATGGCTCCAAAATGGCCCAGAGGTTCCCAAGGGGGCCCCAAGACATCCCTAAAGGCGCTCAATACGCCCCAAGAGGCGCTCAAAAAGGCGCCCAAAGAGGCCCCCAAGATATCCCCGAAAAAAACCTCCCACGAAACGTCCCCAAGAGGCCCCAAAAAGCCCTCCCAAGAGCCTTCGGCGAGAAGAGCCAATCATTGGTTTTACGAGAGATGTTGCTACATGTTGGCCTCCTGCGGGGGGGGCCCTGTGCAGTAGCTCCCCTCTTGGATTGATATCCTCCAAGATGGCCCCCGAAGCCCCCAAGGGCACCCCGAGACGGCCCCGAGGGGTTCCCCCGAGAAGACACCAAAATGCCCCCCCGAGAGACTCCCAAAAGATCCCCAACAGATCCCCACAGAGGTTCCCCAGAGGCACCCAATAAGGCCCGAAAGGTACCTGGAACTTTCACACCCTAAGAGGATCCGAAGAAAGTCTGTGCGAACATCCAAAGGGACTCCGAGAGGCATCCAACAGTCTTATTGCCTTTCTGTTCGCCCTCCTCCTCTTCCTCCTCCTCTTCCTCCTCCTCCTTCTCATCCTCCTCCTGCAGGCGGCGCGCCGGTCTGTCGACGCGCGCCCACTTTGAGCAGGGACCGACCGTCCTGGCATTCCTATAGGCCTACCACGACACGTTCTCAGCATCCGAAAATGTTTCAATCACAACAAATGTTGTCATAACATAAGCCCGATTTGAACGAACGAAACAGTCCCGGCCATATATGCTGTAAGGACATTTCGTGGAAACCACAGAAGGTTCTGGAATATCCTTTGGTCGGTGTATGGGCGAGCCAAGACGCTTCGCCGCTGCTTCAACTCTCTAACCCTGATCGGGACGAGCTCAACGGCGACGGTGCTCTGAGCGCCAAGACGTGCCGGAAGCCGATCAGCCGGCCGAGCTGGTGGCCAAGGGCCACGCGGGCGCCGTGCCGGGCAACTCCCGCGCCCAGCGCGGCCTGCAGCTGGCGCGCCGCGGCCGCCTGCAGGGCGACCGCGGGCTCCGCGCCCCAGCGCCGCGCGAGGGCGCCGGCCGCGGCCGCGGCGGCTTCGTCCCCGGCCAGCAGCTGTCCCAGACCCCCTCGGGCAGTGAAGGGATCGTGACGGGAGGTGTTTCTCTATTTTCGTCGGCCCCTGGGGGGCCCTTACTGGCCGTCGGGGCCGTCAAAAAAGGATCCAGGATGAAAAACCGGTCCAGGGGAATGGGTCGAGACCTCCAGGGGTCGACGTAATAAAAAACAATCATGACGTCGGGGGCCTGGGGTGCCTGGTCGCGCCCGAAGCGCCGCAGCCGGGCTGTGATAGCCGCCCGTCTCCAGAGCCAGCTGCACCATCCGCCAAGGCGCGGGCCCGGCGGAGTACCGCTGGGGCTTGTCCGCCACTGCGCCCCAGGCGTCAGCGCAGTCCCGTGCGGCGGATCCGTGTATTTCTCCTCCTTCCTCCTCCATCCTGCCCCTCCCCCTCTCCCTACTCCTCGTCCTCCTCCTGCTCCTCCTCCATCCTCCCCCTCATGGGGTACAACGTCTTACTCAGCCTTTTATTCCACTGCGTGCTTTTCCACATCCCTGATCAGGGCAAATCGTCTGGGCATCGTTTCTGGATCGGCTGGTGGAGATACGCGACGCGTCTAGAATAAGGTCTCCGCCCCAGGGCGAACGAACGACCCGAAAAGCTAGAGCCCTCATGAGCCCCAAAAGGTCCTGATCTCGGCGTCCTGGCTGTACCCGCACAGGTTCCCTGCTGCGCAGAGCGCGCCGCGGGGCGGCGCGGTGGGCGACGCAGGCGGGACGGGGGGGGGCCAGCGCCGACCCACGAGCTCCACCCCCGAGTGTGTGTGTGTGTGTGTTGCGCAGCTGCTTGCTGGCTCTTCGGAGCCTTGCCCCGAGCCCTCGTAGCCGTCCAGCGTCGTGGACATCACCTCGGGCGTGGTCAAACGTCCTCCCCGGGAAGGTGGCGACATCCGAACCACACACACCGCCACCAACCACTGATTCTCCTGCGTCGATGGGAGGCGGGGGTAGGGCTCGGATTTCGCCACGTGTTCAACGAATTCCGAACCGTCTCAAAAGTCTGAGGGTGGCGCCACAACGCCGATGCATCTGCGATGCATCGGCGACGTCGGTATGCAGAACATCGACCTCCCAATCGATCCGCATCGCCGATGCATTTCATCGACGCGCGCGCGATGTTCTGGCCCCATCGGCTCGGACCCTGCCTGGCGTGCGCCAGAAGCCCTGAGCTCGAACCAAGTGTCATATCTTGGGGGACACACATTTATCAAGGGGCCCTGGGGCACACAAATAAATACAAACAAATAAAATGATTCCCCATATTTTCCCATGTTTCCCTGGGGGATCGAGGATGAATTGTGTCTGTGTGTTTCTTTTCCTCCTGAGCTTGGCTCTCCGAGAGCGTATTTCTCGGATCCGCGATGGACCCCCCCCCCTCCCTCGCGCGCAGAGCGCGCCGGGGGCGGCGCCAGAAGCGCCGCCGCGGGGCCCAGCGCGGATCCAAGACATCCGCGCGGCGCGCCAAACAGGATCATGCGTATTAGAGGGCAAACAAACCTACCTCGCTTTTGACCGCCCTCGCTTCCAAGAGAGACCAAGCGATGCCAAGCTACGGCCCGTATTGGCCAGGCCGCTTGACGAGGAGGCGCGTGGTATGACTTGGTTTTGCCTGGAAGCGAACGCGGGGTAGGTAATTCACGCCCTGATGTATTGAAGGGGAACTGGAACACACAAATAAATACACACAAATAAAAATATCCCCCATATTTTCCCATATTGTCTGGGTTTTTGTCTTCCCCCCCACTTCCCATATTTTTGCATATTTTCCTGGGAGTCGAGGATTAATTGTGTCTGTGTGTTTCTTTTCCCTCCTGAACATTGTACTCTTAGGCGGCCCGCCAGCCTCCGCCTGCAGAGCCGCTCTGGCCTCACTGCCGCGGGCTTCCGCCGCCCGTCTGCCAGCTCCCCCCCGAAAGGCGCGACGCGCGCCGGCGGCGACGCCCCTGCCGGGCCCGCGCCCCTCTCTGGCAGCCTGGAACGGCTCCCTCGCTGCCCTTCGTGGCCCCGTTGCAGCCCTTCGTGGCCCCCTCGCTGCCTTCCTTGGCCCCGTTGCAGCCCTTCGTGGCCCCCTCGCTGCCCTTCGTGGTCCTTCGTGGCTCCCTCGCTTTGTTCTGTGGCCCCCTCGCTGCCCTTCATGGCCCCTATATATGAGAGCGTTTGTTTTGGTGTGCGCTCCGCAAGTGCCTGGACAATGCCCCACTACTGGAGGCCTGGAAATGGGCACCAACACCAACACCGGGGTCTGCCTCAACCGGGGGAAGCCTGCTGGGGCGCGCCCTTGCGGCGACCTGGAACGGTGAGTACGTTCGTTTTCGGGTGCCCTTCGCACGTGTTGGGGCAAGGTGTTTCTATCGGAGACCTGGACATGGGCACCAACACCAACTCCGAGGTCTGCCTCGACGGGGGAAGGCGGATCCTAGATGTTGGTGCTGGTGGTGATACTTCGGCCACCTTGGAAGCCCGATGATTACCACCATCGCCGAGGCGATGCACACCGCCGATATTGGTGTTGATGTCAACCTCGAGGCCTCCGACGATACACTTGTGCATGCACCATGGTCAGCAGCCAGCTGGGCTCGGCAGAGACCTTCAGAGGGGACGAACAGGGCCAGTCCGACGCTGACAAAAAACTAAAACGGCATCGACGTGCTCGACCCCTGGGAACCGGCGCTGCGAACTGTGGCACAATCATTAAACATCACGACCTGAGGCCTGCCTCAAATCGGGCGTGTCCCCCTACAGGCGGATTCTGAACGAAAAATAAAATTATCACAGTGCGACCCTACCTAGGAGTTGGAGCTCAGCAGCATTAGTAGTAACAGTAAAGCTAGACTAAAGCTAATATAAAGCTAACCTGCAGCTAAACTAAAGCTAAACTAAAGCTAAGCTAACGCTAAGCTAACGCTAAGCAAAAGCTGAGCTGAAGCTACTCTAAAGCTAAGCTAATTCGAAGCTAAAGCTAAACTAAAGCTAAGCTAGAGCTAAGTTAAATATGAGCTACAGCTAAGCTAAAGCCAACATACATATATATATATGTGTATAAACGGAAGCGAAGCTAACGCTAAGCTAAAGCTGCGCTAAAGCTAAGCTAACGCTAAGCTAAAGCTAAGCTAAAGCTAAGCTAAAGCTAAGCTAAAGCTAAGCTAAAGCTAAGCTAAAGCTAAGCAATAGCTAAGCTGAAGCTAAGCTAAAGCTCAGCTGAAGCTAAGCTGAAGCTAAGCTAAATCTAAGCTAAATCTAAGCTAAAGCGAAGCTACAGCTAAGCTAACGCTAAGCTAAAGCTAAGCTAATGCTGAGATAAAGCTAAGCTAAAGCTAAGCTAAGGCTAAACTAAAGCTAAGCTAACGCTAAGCTAAAGTTAAGCTACATCTAAGCTAAAGCGAAGCTAACGCTAAGCTAAATCTAAGGTAAGGCTAAGCTATGCGATGATATGCTATGCTGTGCTGTGCTATGCTATGCTGCGCTGTGCGATGCTAAGCTAAGCTATGTTATGCTATGTTATGGTATGGTATGGTATGCTATGCTATGCTATGCTGCGCTATAATATGCTGGTCTATGCTATGCTATGATGTGCTAGGCTATGATATGCTGCGCTATGGTATGCTATGCTATGAGATGCTATGCTATGCTATGCTATGCTGCGCTATGCTATGATATGCTATGCTAATGCTGCGCTGCGCGGCGCTAACATGAGCTAAGCTAAGATACGCTATGCTAAGCTATGCTAGGCTAAGCTAAGTTAAGCTAAGCTCAGCTAAGCTAAGCTTAGCTAGGCTAGGCAAAGCTAAGCTAGGCTAAGCTAAGATGAGATAAGCAACGCTAAGCTAAGGGAACGTCACTGGGGGAACCGCGGGGCGGATACTGGGGGAACCGCCCGGGGCGGGCCCCACTGCCCGGCCCTTTAAGCTTAGAGTAAGAACCCTTCTAGGCAGAGCCTAGGTAGGGAAAAATCAAACAAATACCTCAAAACGTCCAAACAATTATCCATAAATCGTCCCTCGACTATTTTTGACAATCTTTGAGTATTCCTCCTGTACAGGGACATGCCCCGACTTCAGCCTGGCCCCGACCTTTCCGCGGCGGTTCTCGAGCCGGAGAGATCCGCGAGGGTCCACACTCGGGAGTTGGCAGAACTGGGTTTAGTGGGACCTCGTTTGGTGATGTGTCCGTTCCACTAATCGGAACTCCCGGCACCCGAAAAACACCAGCTACGGCAGACCTGGTTTAGTGATTCTGGCAAATTTAGGGGCTCCTGGGCCCTGCTACTGGCCGGGTCCCCTTATACCTGGGGTCATGCTCTACCCGACACGCGGGGGGCCAGATCACCGCACGGTTCTGGGATTCGGGCCGCTCTCCGAGGACGCCCCGGGCGACTGGGGCATCCGAGGCCCCCAAGACCGCGCGGCGGCAGACCGTGCGGAGAGGCCTTGGGGGATGTCGAGGTCACCGCGCCGGCCTGTCACCGCACCGCGTCGGACTTCACTTAAAGGCTGGAGCTTCTTAGCCTAGTTGGGAGGTGCTTGTGGCTGGGTCTCTCCGGCTCGAGGCACTCTGCAGAGTGCCTCGAGCCGGAGAGGCCCGCGAGGGCCCACCGCGGGGGCCAGGCCAAGGCCGGGCGGGCGCACCCGCTGCGCCTCCGTCGTGGTGCCCCGCGGGCCGCCCGGACCTCGGGGGCCGGACCCCATACCGGGCTCTGGGCTCCGCACGCCCGCGGGGGAGCCGCCGAGGGTTCTGCTGCTCCCATCTCCTGCTTAAGAACCGCATCCCGGAAATCATTCCGAGCACCCGGAAAAAATACAAAAAAGAGTGTCAAAAGAGTGTCGAAAGAGTCTCGAAACAGTGCCGGGCGAGTGTCTCCCAGGGCCCGACACGTGAAAACCCTTGAGTTTCGGTACTCTTTTTGGGGCGCTCGGAATTCTTCCTGGTGATCAGGGCTAAAGTATAGGTAGGAACATCGTGAGCCAAGGGTTAGGTCGGGCATGTCCTCGTGCAGGCGGCTTTCGGACGAGAAATGAGAACACCCCCAACCAATTCGGCGCCTCTGGAGCAGGAGAGATCCGCGAGGGTCCGCCGGGGGGCCAGAGGCCACCGGGCGAGCGCGCGACTCGCGCGGTGCGGCGCGGGGCACCCAAACCCTGGGGGAACCCCGCCGGCGCGGTCGCCCGGACGTGGCCGGGCTTTTCTGCTGCAGCACGCCCGCGGGGGAGCTGCCCCAAGGTTCGGTCGGGCACGTCCTCGTGCAGGCGGACGTTGGACGAAAAAGAACAGAGACCCTCAAACATACCAACAAAAAGAGCCAAGAATAGTCATCAAACCCTCGCCTCCAGACCATGTTTGGACGATTTGGGGACACTCCCCCTGCAGAGGCGCGCCCGACTTGAGCCAAGGGGGTATCCCACCCACCCGTCCCGTTCGCGCGCCCAGATTGCGGGGACGTCTCGAGAGCGGGTTGCCAGTCTGACTAACCCGACCTCCTCCGCTCCAGGCGCAGAGTCTGCTGAGGATGCAGCTGGCGAGGCGCTGGCGTTCGCGCCCCCCCAGGGGGGGGGGGGGGGGGCCAGTCTGCGAAGACGTCTCGAACGGCTTGCCTGCTTGGGTGGCCAACCTCGTCTGCAATCAGGCGGCCGAATCCGTTGTGATTTACGTACGTCCCTATGTACAGCAGGATAGCCCAGAATCGAATCGACAAGTCGGATCGTCGATCGACATGAATCGGATCGGCGGAAATCGGCAGCCGAGTGGGGAAAAGTCGAATCGGCGGAAATCGGGGGGCCATTATGCCTCCAATAAGAGATCGGAGCCCAAATCGGGGTCCCACATCACATCGAGTCGGGATCGGAAGCCATCGAGGTCGAATCGAAGTCGAATCGAATCGTAGGAGTCGAAGTAAGCCCTGACATGGCGCCCCTCTTCACCACGCGGCGGGCGCGCCACAGGATGTCCACCTCCTCTGAAGGGGCTCAGGGACACACAAATACATAGACACATATCCCAGGATTCTCCATATCTTCCCCTACTTTCTGGGTGTTCGTCTTCCCTCCCACTGTCCATCTTTTTCTGGGAGTCGACGATTCATTGTGTCCGCGTGCTTTTTCCCCTCCTGATCCTCACCAGACATGCGACGTCCTGATTACGGGGTCCCTGAAGTCCCGACCCGTTCCCTGGGACCAGCTTGGCATCCCGAGTCGTTCTTTGACGGTCCCGAGGACCGGCGAGGGCCCCCCGAAGCCGAAACTGGCCAACAGCCTCCCGCCCTGATTTTTGCTAGCGACGCGATCATGTCTGGGTCACCACGCGGCGGGCGCGCCACAGGATGTCCACCGCCGCGTCGACGGGGAAGCCGGCGGCCTCGTCCACCAGCAGGAGGGCGGCGCCGCGCAGGGCCGGGCCGCCCCCGCCGCCTGTGGCGCGGGCGGGAGGGGGCCACGAGAGCCACGAGCCTTTCTTGGGCGTGGCTTAATGGGGGGGTCATAAATGGGGGGGTCAAAAACGGTCCCCTTTCGTGCCCCTTTCGGGCCCCTCCGGAGCCTCAGGGGGCTCGTTTAGGTACCGTTTGGGTACCTTTTCGGACCACGCTCGCCACCCCCCCATTTATGACCCCCCATTACGCAACGCCCAACTTTCGTCGTCGGCTGCCAAGGCCGGGCCAACTGCCATGCTGCTTCACGGTGGTGCAGGGGACCAAGGGGGTACAGAGGGCAACCAGTCACCCGCATAATAAGCACCCCGACACGCGAAGCCATTTACGAAACGCCCCCACCGAAGGAATCGAACCGGGCAGGGCTGTGTAGTAAACGCGCAGGGCAGTCTAGCAAACGCTGATGGTCGTGTCCGGGTGGTTATTCCCCCCTTGATGGTAGGATATCGCGGGCCACTCCTGTCTACAATTCCAATATGCAAAGGGATCGAGCGGACACGACACAGCGAATTGTAGGACAGCGCAAGCCACGCGTTCACACAATACCAAAACCTACATCGCCGTTATCTACATCGCCGTTAGCTCGTCTACGGGATTGGCGGCTCGCGCAGAGGGGGGCAGGGTGGGACGCAGAAGGACATACTAGTACTATATGTCCTCCCTGGAGGCGTGCGTTCGACCCGAGTACAGCACAAGCCTCTCGTAGCATATCGTTTCCCCGAGCGGTATGGCCAGAAAGCGTCCGCCACGGTGTATATACTATGAGATTTCTCGGCGCGCGCATCGCCCATGCCATTTAGGGGCGACGCACACATGGTATTAATATGTTTGGGTGGCGCCGATCGGGGATGGGGGGAAGGCTTTTTAGAATGGGGTTGCGTCTTAGAAGGCGCGGGCCTTGTCTGTAGATCTAAGGCCCGCGCCTTCTAAGAGGCAGCCCCCTTCTCAAAGCCTTCCCCCCTCCCCCTACCCCCATCTGTGCGCCGCCGAATCGGGGGTAGGCGGGAGCAGGGTCAGGAGAGGTCGAGTCCAGACGAAAAAAGTCCAGACGGAGACCGAGCATTCCGTGTGGATTTACCCCGCATGGACGCAGCTTCCGCCGACAAGGCGGGACCCTGACAGCCTCGAGTCGTGGGAGAGATCACGACCGGAGCGTTTTTGGCACTTGCTATGGGGAACAAAACGTGACATAAACATAAAAACTCGGAGGTCCGCGCGGATTTCTCGGATCGGCGCTGGACCCCCCCGCCCTGGCGCGCGGAGCGCGCCAGGGGCGGCGCCGGAAGCGCCGCAAAGGGGGTCCAGCGCGGATCCGAGAAATCCGCGGGGACCTCCGAGGATTTATATTTATGTCACTGTTCGTTCCCCTACAGTCGGGGCGCTGACCTAAGGAACCCTAAATAAGGAACGAGGCCCCCTTTTTTTCCATAAGTTAAACTTCGATGTCCGATCGAAAACATAAGGAAAGCCTGAGGCAAGCTGTGAAACACTTAAGGAACACCGAGCCCCTCCCCAACGAAAAGGGTTCCTTCTTCAGCGCCCCGACTGCATACTTATGCAATGCCATTTTATGTCATTTATCATTCCTAAATTATGATCTGTCATTGTTATGTCATGTATGTCGTTCATTGTTCATATATTAAGTTATGTCAGTGTATGGCATTTATCGTTCCTATATTATGTTATGTCATGTTATGCCATTGCATGTCATTGATCGTTCCTATATCATGGTATGCCATGTTATGTCAATGTATGCCCTTTATCGTTATTAAATTATGTTATGTCATATTGTGCCATTTTATACTATGTATCGCTCCTACATTATGTTGTCAGTTTATGCCATGTTATGTCATGTATCGTTTTTGTATTATGTAATGTACTGTTATGCAATTTGTAACATATTCATGTGATGGCATTTTCATGTCATTTTATGCGTGGACCTCCGCGTTTTTATATGAATGTCATTGTTATTTCTTTCTTTTCTTTCAGACTTCGGCTCGAGTCCATGGACTGCCTGTGGTAGACCTCTCCGGATACAGATTGGCGGCGCTGTGTGCTATGGGTTGGAACCACAGGGGGAAGGGAGGAGAGGGCCGGCAGAGGAGGAAGAAGAGAAGGCGTTCAGAAGAGCTCTCAGACCCGTGTCCAAGGCGACGACCTCGGCCTCGAAGGCGCCTACGGCAGGTTCGTGTCGTGCCGACCCCAGCGTTGGTTTTTGACACCGCAGGGATCGTTCAACCTTGAACGATCGGCCGTCTCCGCAACGTCCAATCGTTCAACATCGACCGATTCTGGGCCGCCGGCGGCGTTCAACCTTGAACGCCCGCGGCGGGGTCGCGACGAGTCGACACGACGCGAACCTACCGTATGTCATTGTTCGTTCCCCTATTTGGGCACGTGCGGCCTCTGGGAGAGCCCCGGGGCGGCCGCGGGGGGCAGAAACACCGGTCCCACTGGGAAGGGGCCCGCTGGCCATCGCTCGGACGTCCTTCCTTGTGCTTTTTTCGGTTTCGTGCGTGGTTTTCTCGCCAAATGGTCAAGGATTCTCCTCGATGGCCCTCGCCGAAGGAAAAATACACACGTCCGAGCGATGCCGAGTCCATGACCTCGTGGGAGGCCACGTTGCGAAGGGAGACGCGACGCCGGACGTCCGGGGGCCGGACCACCCGGGAGGCAGGAGGGCGCAGGGGGGGAGGAGGGGAGGAGAGGAGATGGCGCGAGGGGGGAGGGGGAGGGGGGAGGCAGGGAGGAGGGGAGGGAGGGGGAAGAACGGAACAAATACGTGGTTGAGTGCGAGTGGCAAGCTCCGACCGTAGGGACAATGAGAAGCACGGAAGAGACACGAGGAGAACAGGAAGAAAATGATGAAGATGCTCGCAAAGAGCATCAGGACGAGAAAGAGGAAGAGGACCTGAAGTGGACAGAGGGAAGAGGCGGACGGAGGACGATGAGGAGGAGAGAGGGGGGGCAAAAAAAAACATCAGAGAAGAGAGCGACGCTGGGGGGCGCGACAGCGAGGAGGAGAAGGGCGAGCAGCAGACGGGACGAGCGCCAGGCAGGAGGACTGCTGCAGGGAACGGGGAGGGGGGAGGGGCAGCAGGTCGCAGAAGGGGTGGTGGGGGGGAGGAGCGGCGGCCAGGGCGGGAGAGCAACGACGAGGCCGCGGACCTGGGGGCGCCTCTGCACCCCAGACCCTCTGCTCAGGAGAACGAAGCACCGAGTCGGCAGGCCAGAGTGTATCGGGCAAGTCTGCGCTCAAGACGGGCCTGCCCCCCTACAGGGGGGATGATTTTCGACGAAACATACAAGATACGCAACAGATGCTCCAACAGGGCCAAAAAATGCTCAAAAAATAGCCCCCGGACTCTCTTGAAAACGAGCGGAAATTAAACATATTCAAAAAATGAACAAAAAATCGTCCCCAATATTATTGTTTGACTATTCTTGAATATTCCCCATGTGGAGGGACGGGCCCGACTTAAAAGTCTGCGCCTCGACGGCCCGCGTGCTCCCGATGCGGCCCCGCCCCGGGCCTCCCCGCTGTGGCACCCGGCGTGCTCTCCTCCCGAGGCACCCCGCGGCCCCCGAGGGTCCTCCACGTGCCTGGCCGCAGGTTCAGCTCGGCTGACGGTCTGGCACGTGGCGCCGCCAGTGCTCCTCGACGGCGCGCAAGGGAGGTGTGATTCTCCGAGTGTCTCGATCCTGGGGTGACTTGCCTACCAGACCACCCCAGAAGATACCAGCTGAATGCGCGAACCTAGGTGCGGCTTCCACGGCAAATCGAAAACAGGATCAAGAGCGACGATGCATGGGCGGACAGCAGCGCCATGGACAACGACATCCAAATGCGATGGCTTACGGCCGCCGCCAGGGTCGCAAGTAGACTCTACCTCGGCGAACTTGATATCCCCTTTGATCTGCGCGAGGTAGCCAGAAGAAATTAGGGCCTCGGGGCCGAGATTCCACTCGCCCACAACGGTCCAGGGAAGCTGGAGGCTCTGGAGAAAACTCTCAAACGTTGAACGTTGGACCCTCGCAGGACAATGCTGCAAAAGGCGTGGAACAGGGGACCCCACTACGAGGGAGAAGCCCTTGGTTGAGGTGGAGAACAACAGGACGGAATCCGTCAAGGCTGGAGGGGGGGGAGGCACTGGAGTCCTTCGCACGGGACTCCCTCTACTACAGGATGGGTAGTTAAATTGCATTTGGGTAGGTACCACTCCCATCTTTCATTAGCGTGGTGCTCTGCTGCGGACATGGATTCAGCACAATCGCGCCTCCCTTCCGTGGGGCGCTGTGAAGGGCGACCAGGGTTGGCGAAAAGCCTTCCCTGGATGCCGCGCAAACGACCGCGCCAAGAAGAACTGCCCTGCTCAAAGATGCGTGTCTCGACGAGGCCGGTGCAGTCGTCCTGCTGCGCGGAAATCCACTCGAAAATCTATTCGCCCACGCAGGTGATGCTACAGTAGAATAACGAAGTAGTGGCCGAACTCGTAACAGCACTGGCCGCCTCGGTGGCGGTGGACTCTGGGGTAGAGACCGCCGAACCTCCTCGATGCGACGTGGCTCGGGCCTGGGCTCCTCCAACCTTGCCTCCACCCTTGGCGGCGCCTGCCGTGGGCGAAGTGGCAGCGCCTGCTCCGCCAGTTCCTGTTGCCGCGGCCTGGGCGGCGAACTCGGCGGCGGAGAGCTTGGCCGCATCGGCCTCGAGCAGCTTCGGGCCAAACTCGGGCTCCATGGCGGGGGCGGCCGCTCCTTCGCCCGCGCTCGCCCGAGGGGTGCCCCCGTCGGCGGCGCCGGGCGGCGTGCCCGCAGCAAACAGGCCTGGCGAGGTCGTCTCGGCAAGAGGGGGAGCAGCCGCGCCGTCCTCGCCCTTCTGACTCTTCTGGCACCTGGCCTCCTGAATTGCTCTGGCGGCCTGGGCGCGCTGGATGAGGGCCGTGGCATGCGGCCCCTTTGTGGCGAACTGCAGCTCGAGCTCCT